ATAATTATTAATTTTGTTATCTATTTAGTATATTGATTAAACAGGTAGATTATTATTAATTTTTTTTCCTCCTGTACCAATGTAAGATCAAGCCCGGATTAAAGGGGGGGCAAGGGGGGCACGGTCCCGGGGCCCATTGATTTTGGGGGCCCATATTTATCACCATAATATATTTTTTTAACGCGTCCAATATACAGTTTTCAAAAAAAAAAAAGTGGACAAGTGGGTGTCGCTCTGCTGTACAGTAGGTTACAAGTGGGTCACTGTATAATGGATGATATTAAATTTGAATTCAACGATATAATATCATTGTATAAGAAAAACGATTCTGAGCGGAGACGGTAGGTCAGTCTATGTATAAGACATATTATATACATACCTATGGTATTAAACAAAAAATTGACCTATAGGTAATAGCAGGGGCGTCATTTTAGGTTTTTTTTCGGGTGTGCGAGGTTTCAAGCAGGCCATTTTGAAATTTCATCAGACCATATAAAAATAGATATACAAACGTGCATTATCCTGTTTTCAATTATTTCTATACATCTTGGACCGAATAAATTCGGAATCATTGCATCAAAATAAATAGTAAATATCAATTAAGATACTAAAATATAATAAATAATTAATTACCTTAACAGTGAAAAACCAATAATAATTTATGCATAATAAGCTAGAAGAAGAATTAATGCAGCAGCAAATAAAAAAAAAAGGACTTAATATCTATATTAATAAATTGTCATTTATTTTCATAATTATTATAATTTTGGAAAAAGCAAAGCGCTAGAAAAAACAAATTTTTATTTAAATAAGCGGATATCGTCGATTTTTTAGTTTAGCAAATATATCTACAGCTTCTTCTAAATTTATATTGTTAACTTCTTCTTTTTCAACATTAAGTACCATCAGATCATTAAGTCTTTCATCACCCATGGTAGTGCGTAAATATGACTTAACTCTTTTAAGTAATAAGTGATGAAAAAAACCTTTCATTTGATGCCGTTGTAATTGGTAAAGTTTTTGCCAATGAAATAATTTTTAAAGTTTCTACAAAAGCGATAGGAAAATCTTTTAAGCAATATTATTAGGCTTCAGCGGGGCGCAGGCCAAGGCTTCAGCAGAGCGCAGGCCAATTGGAAGTATTTAAAAATTAAGGGGTGCTACCGCACACCCTGACCCCCCCCCCAATGACGCCCCTGTATAATAGGTACCTATAATAAATTCCAAATTAATCATATACTGATAACGCGTTATACATCGACAAAAACCGTGATACTATCATAGATATATAATAGTACACTTTAGAAGTTTCAAGTACCCACGAATAATATTATTCAATCACAACAAAATAACTAAAATAGTTATTCTAGGTTTTTTAATATGTAATTTCGTCCAAATTTGAATTTAAAATGTCTGTAAAAAATAACTGTGTTCAGATATTTTTTAGATTTTTTGGTTACAGTATGAACTATTTATGAGAACCTTTGTGTTGAATTTGCAATCCTTAGCTATAAAAACTGAACATTTTATAATTTATTAATTACAATGATTGATAATTTTCGAGATTTTGATAAATTTTGTCAAAATTTGATCTTTAAATATTTATAAAAAAAAAACTGTGCCTATGTATTTTTAATATTTTTCAACTGATATTGTAACAATATATCAGGAGCCTTGTATTCAATTTTTACACTTTTAGGCCCAACAGATAAAACTTAATAGATATTTATAGAATAAAAAACTAAAAAAAATTGAAGGGTGTATAGGAAATGCTAATATAAACATTCAGTGAAATTTTCATGTATCTACAGTTATTCTTTTTTGAATTACAACAAAATAAGGAAATCGCTACATGGGAAATCGAGTGAATATTCAATGTTGTAAAAATTTGAATTTCATACGCTCATAAAAATTTAATTTGACTTTCTTATAGACATTTTTCTTTTGATAAAGGTAGATAATCTTATAAGGAATCTTGTGTTTCATTTTCAAATCTTAGATTTAAAAAGAAAAATTTTTACGAATTCTTCACTCAAAATAATTTGCTAATTTTCGTGATTTTTCCATATTTTGTTAATTTTTGAACTTTAAATGCTTATAAAAAAAAATTGTGACTAAGGATTTTTAATATTTTTCATCTGCCTTTGAAACAATATATTAGGAGCCTTCTATTAAATTTTCAAGCTTTCGCAACAAACAAATAAAATTTTATTGATATTTTTAGAAAAAAAACTAAAAAAAAATGGAAAATGAAAATGTCCCCAAACAGTTCAAAATAAATCAAAATATTTTTAAAATGTTATCGTGTATAGAAAATGCAAATATAAACAACCAGTGAAAATTTCATGTATATACGTTCATTTGTTTTAGAGTTACACCAAAAACCAAAATCGATTTTTTGGAAAACCAATTTTGAGTAAAAATTCCCGTTTTTCCTTAATTTTTATGTTGTTTTTCCCGGCGCTTGTGAAAACTACTGGGAAATTTATACTTTTGACCCCCCAAAGTACCAACTAGATTCACTTTCCTATCAGAAAAGCTACTGATGAAGAAAATTCAAGCACTTTTACTGTCCTAAAACGTGATGACAGACACAAAAAAAAAATAAAAAAAAACACACATCATTGTAAAATCAATACATTCATCGTTTCACTCAGAATCTAAAAAATATTTAAGTAGGTAGGTATAGTAGGTAAATTATTATTAATAATTATAAAATAAATATGTAAAATATTATATGGTATAAAATTTTATACCACCAAAAATTACTGTAAATAATGAACTATGTTTGCCAATAATTTTGTTTGTTTGTTTGTTTGTTCGTTTTTTTTTTTTTTTTTTTTTTTTTTTTTTTTTTTTTTGAACATTTTAGATTATCAATTTAACTATTTAAGTAGGTATATAAAAGGTAGTTATAAGAAAAAATTATTTAGCTCTTGTTAATTAGGAATTTCAGTTAAAAGTATAAACGCATACTAGTGATGATCAAAACAAGACCAAGACCAAGACTTTCAAAATCTTGGGCTTGGTCTTTATTTTGCAGACTCAGTATTGGTCTTGGTCTTGGTCTTGAGCAAGACTCTTGCAAGACTTGCTATTTTCACAAAATATATAAAAAATAACTAAATACCTGTTATAGCTGTGTGTAGGTTTTTTGTTATGATCTCTAATATGAAAATTATCGATTTTGGGAAAATAAAATAATTTTTCAGTAATTGTTAATTTGTATGAACAAATATGTTATTTTGTAATATCAATTCCTATTATATTTCTAATCTTATTTTCAATAATTCGCCATTTCCTCGAACACTGGTCAAATTTCATAACAATACAAATAAATTCTTTTTATTTTCGTTATAAATTATTAATTAGTTAATGAAATCTAGATACAGTAATGTGTTTTCGGGAAAAAAAATTTGCAGCGGTCTTGCAGTGATGGTCTTGTCTTGTTCTTGCAAGCCTAATGTTGGTCTTGGTCTTGCAGCAAGAGTCTTGCGAGCCCGCAAGACCAAGACCAATTTTGACCGTCACTAATGCATAGGTACTTTAGAAGATCATAGTTAATAACCTAGCTAACCAAAATTGATCATTTGACTGTCAGCATGTTTAGAAAAAAAGCTTTAGCGGAATCCATAAAAAAACATAGTGGTTACTGGTTACCATTTGAAAAAATAAAGTTGATTTTATTATTTTTACAACTTTTTATGTTTAAAAATGTTGAATATGTTATAAAATAAATTGCCTGTTAAAAATAAAGAAACGATTGTCTTTTTTTGTTGTAACACTTGTAACGAAATTCCATATCATCGATCCATACCTAATTGTTAAAAAAAAACAGCATACATTGACTTAAGGTACACTATTTATATTTTTTTATTTTTGTATAGTAAAAAATTATACTATAATATAAAGTCGTTAATATGTAATGATACAATTATTTTGAAGTTAAAACTTAAAGTTGAAAGGGGGCCCACTAATGTGTATGGTGTACCGGGGCCCAATTGATCCTTAATCTGGGCTAGTGTAAGATGTAGATATTGCTATCAAAATATATTATATCTATTTTGAATTCAAAATGTGTTGCTGAAAAGTGGTGGTCAAAATGTATGTAAGGCAGGAGTGTGAGGGGGGTCCATGTTGAGTAATTGTGCAATTGGAACGGAGTTTTTAAATCGTTGGATTGAGCTCCTCTACTTAATTTTTCCCAATTCGAGCACTGTGCTTAGTGATAAGTGATAACTATAATACACGACGTTCAATATAATGTATAACAATTAACAATAATCAATATAATTGTTAATCTATGACAATTTATCATTTAATTAATGTCCGTACGACCGTACACACTACTTCAACGGTAGTGGTAAAATAATGAGTCCGGAGTCCGGACACAAATTACCGCCACCGCTGCAGTGCGTGACCTGGTGTGGGTAGTTTTATTAAGTATATTATCTTAAAATATGTCTTATTAATTGTATTAAATACGACATCTAGCGGTTTACAAATGGAATCAGTTTTGTTGGCTAATTGTTCTATGCTAATAGATTTGTAGAAAATACCCACATGGCACAAGAAATTTTTTTTCGTATTCTATTTAATTAAAACTGGTGCAGAACTATAAAAAAAAAGTGTAAAAGTCATGGAGTGGTTACTTGGTACACTAATAAATTGTCAAGTCGTAAACTTAAAAGTTTAAAGGGTAAAGGTGCAATTTAGAAGTAGTGCTGAAGGTGCCGCTCTCTCGACGTGACTATTGAAGTTTATTTCTTATCAATTTTTATTCAATAGTGAATAATAATATTATGCATTTTGTGCAGAATCATTTTGAAGTTTTGAACAAATAGATATTCTGAATTTGAACAATCATCATAATAATATTACTATTTTTACAATGTGCTAGTAAAATAGTTGCGATTTTTAGACCAGTATTGAACGTTTTTGGAATTGTAAGACCAAAGAGTGTTTTATTTTTTGGAGACACAATTCTGTGCAACTATAACATGAGTACAACGTTGCAAGCAGATGAGTTTCCAGTATGGGCATTGGTACCAAAAAAAGAAACTGGAGTCACTAACTTCCTGGCCAAAAATCCATCATACGATGGCCGTAATGTGACAATAGCCATATTCGATTCTGGTGTCGATCCTGGAGCTCCTGGTCTTAAAGTGAGAACCCTCAGTGAGCAATAGGTAATATTTTAAATGTTGTCATGTACATATTTCAGGTGACAAGTGAAGGTAAACCAAAAGTTATTGCTAGATACGACTGCAGTGGTGCTGGTGATGTTGATACCTCAACCATAGTGACACCTGAAGGAAATAAAATAAAAGGACTAAGTGGACGTACACTTGTTGTAAGTACACAATACTATTTCACCAGTTTTCAAATTATTTCTATAACATCTGCCTTGTAGATACCAAGTACTTGGAAGAATCCTACCGAGAAGTATCACATAGGTATAAAAAATGCATTTGAGTTATACACCAAGAATGTCCAAAAGCGAATTGAAGAAGAAAAGAAAGAAAAGCAATGGGACCCACTTCATAAGCCATTATTATCAAAAGCAATCATGGAACAACAGAATTTCAATAATGTAATTTATGAATAATATTATAATATTACCCCAATCTTATTAAATATATAACATTTTATATAGGAATTTGATCCTTCTAAAGTCACACTGACAAGAAACCAGAAATTAAAAAAGGATGACCTAGACAGCACCGTTGAAGCTTTACAAAATTTAGAAAAAAAGTATAAATTTATCACCCCAGTTTATGATTGTGTGGTTTTCCATGACGGAGTACAATGGCTGTGAGTATCTTTTAACTGTACTTATGTACTACTGTGTGAAAATTAACTCAATTACCTTATCATGCCATATTTCACATACAGTGTGTGTGTTGTCCTAACTACTTAATCTTTACTATTAAAATAGTATTTCATACAATACATTTTCCAATTTAAAATGTGATTGCTTTGTGGTTGAACATACTGCCACAAAAAATATGCATTTTTCCAGTAATTTTCAGTCATAAAATAAGTAGCATTGGCGTAAACATCTATTAGAGCACCTAAATTTTCAGTAAAATAAATAATAATGTAAACTATAAATAACTATAGTAACCTTTAAATACAAAATACAATTCCCTTAAGTATATTTTATAGGCACCACATATGATAAATTATCAAATTAATTTAGAAAAGTTCAAAAGTATCTGGGATCACTACATTTATATAAAAAAAAGATGCTCTGCTGTACAGTAGGTTACAAGTGGGTCACTGTATAATGGTGGTATTAAATTTAAATTCAATGATATTATATCATTGTATAAGAAAAACGATTCTAAGCGGAGATTGTATGTCAGTCTAGGTTTAAAACATATTAATTACATGTCAATAGTAATAAAAAAAAATATGCAGTCTTATCATTGAGCATACTTCTTATTCCTTATAGTATAAGGCTTATACTATAGTAGATTGTATGGATAGGCCATAATATTTTGATTTTTTAGTTTCATATATCCCCGAATAATATTTTTAAATTACAACAAAAAACCAAAATTGTTAATATTGATTTTAATATGTACATTTTGAACAAATTTGAACTTAAAATGACTATAAAAATAAACTGTCTTTCTGTATTTTTTGATAACAGAATTAACATTCGAGCGGGCGCGCGGACGGTTTTTACACCGCACATTTGAAAATAATCGCGCCCATTCGTTATAAGTTTCATGCAGCGAACCTATCCTAAATTCAAATGAGGCTCTAAATTGTGCGGTGTTAATACCGTTGCGCGCCCGCGTGTGTAATTGCAAAATGCGCGCCCGCTCGAAGGTTAACTACTTGCGTGGAATCTTGTTTTAAATTTTCAATCCTCAGATATAAAATTTGATCATTTTCTAAATTTTTAACTACAAAATAATAATTCAATTTTAAATTTGATAAATTTTGTCAAAAGTCGATCTTTAAATGCTTGTAAAAAAAAATTGTGCCTATGTATTTTATTTTTCAACTGATATTGTAAATTTGTAACAATATATCAGGAGCCTTATATAACATTTTTACACTTTTTGGCCCAATAGATATTTATAGAAAAAAAACTAAAAAAAACGAAAACTGTAAATGTCCGTTAACAGTCAAAATATTTTTTAAATGTTATCGTGTATAGAAAATGCAAATATAAACAACCAGTGAAAATTTCATGTATCTACGGTCATTTGTTTTAAAGTTACACCAAAAACCAATTCAGATTTTACGTAAAAATCCCCGTTTTTCCTTAATTTTTCTTGGCACTTTTAAAAATCACTGGGAATTTTAAATGTTGACCTCCCCTATTGAAAATTGAAGCATTATTTCGACTTATCGTGTACACAGACCCAGATAAAATAAAAAACACACATCATTGTAAAATCAATACATTCATCGTTCCACTCAGAATCACTCAGAAAAACTGGTCCAATATTATATTGTGGCATGACATTGATGTATTGTAATTACTGATTTTTTTACAAAAGGTAGTCTCGAGAGTGTACTAGGTGTACCTCAATAGATTAGTTATTTCTTTAAACATCCAGTGGCGCACAGAGATATTTTGAGAGCACATGCAACTAACAAAAGTTAACCACCCACCCACCCACCCATTTTTTTATTTAAAAAAAACGTTCTTTTGAACTGTTATTTGTAACTGTAATTAACTTAAAATGCCTATACTTTATCTATGTACCTATAACCATAGGCGTCTATACCTACCCACCCACCCACCCATGAGAGCACATGCAGTTGCACCCCTTGCTAACCTGTCTGGGCGCCAACATCTATATTGCATAGGTTTCTATTATTATTCTTTAAGCAAGTTAATACTTTGTTTTAATTATATTATATTAATGTTCATAGTGCATGCTTGGATACTTCTGAAAAGGGAGATTTGGCTTCATGTAAACTTATGGGAGAATTTAGTGAAGATCCAGTTAATAATTTCGATTACATCACTGCTGCCGATCGAATGAGTTATTCATTTAATATGTATAATGATGGAGATGTATTGGAAATCGTATCTCTTGGGTGTAAGTGTTGGAGAATATTTAGTGAAACATTGAGGCAATATGAAATTGAACATTTTTAATCCTGCATTAGCATCTCATGGAACACATGTATCTGCTATTGCTGCTGGGTATTTTCCTGATGAACCAGACAGAAATGGAGTGGCTCCTGGCGCTCAAATTATATCCTTAACTATAGGCGATAGTCGTTTAGAGACAATGGAAACAGGAACTGCAGTTGTAAGAGCGATGATTAAAGTTATGGAACTTCGAAAGAAGTTTAACATTGACGTTATAAATATGAGTTATGGGGAACACTCAAATTGGTCTCATGCCGGGTAATTTCAAATTTTATAAACTAAAAGCAATCATGTATATGAATATTATTATTCGATTTATAGGAGAGTTGGCGATATTATGAATGATGTAATTGACAAGCATGCTGTTACTTGGGTTGCATCTGCTGGCAATCATGGGCCAGCGTTATGCACTATTGGGGCTCCTCCAGATATTTCAAAAACGACAATCATAGGTAAAAGCAATGATATATACTATAATATTATATATTTATCTTGTTGGCTTGAATGTTTTTTATATAGGAGTTGGAGCCTATGTATCACCAGATATGATGACAACAGAATACTCTATGCTACAAAAACTCCCAGGCAATACTTATACATGGTCCTCAAGAGGGCCAACAATTGACGGCGGTAGAGGAATAAGTGTATGTGCACCAGGTGGGGCAATAGCTTCTGTACCTGGATACCTGTTAAGAGGATCACAGTTAATGAATGGCACAAGCATGTCTGCACCTCATGTAGCTGGAGCAACTGGTTGGTTATTTAAAACTATTAATTACAGTGTATGTATTTATATTTTTTTTTTTCAGCTGTATTAATATCTGGACTTAAGGGAAAAAATATTGATACCTGCCCTTATTTGATTAAACGAGCAATGGAAAATACTGCATTGTATAACGATAAGATAGATCACTTTTCACAAGGACATGGTTTATTACAAGTATAAAACAAAAATATTTAAAATTATTTTTATTCAGTATAACTGTTAAAAAGAAATTTTATACAAAAAATTATCTTCAGAAATACTAATACTGTTTATAATAAAATATATTTCTCATAACTTAAAATTAATACTTATTCACAATTAATAATTTACATTAAGAGACACTTCTGTTTAATGTTGTTAATTTAATTTGTTCAAGATATATACATTGTATAAATTAAAAATAATATAAGCAATATTATAGATTACTGTTAATTATAATCTTATTATAGGTTGATAAAGCATTTGATTATTTAACTCAATACTACACTGAACAAGAATCATATGTCAAGTTTATGGTATCTTGTAGTATCCAAGGCCATAGTGTTAATGGGAATAAAGGAATCCATATCAGAAATGCAATTGAAAACAAAGTGGTTGACTGTGTCATAATTGTGGAACCAGTCTTTTTAAATAATGCAGATGTCGGTAAGTTATTCAGTTATTAAATTAAAAAGTAAAAATTTTGGAAACTAGATATCTAACTGTGTATTTAGTGATTTATGCAGTATTGATTAAATAATTTTGGATTAACAAATGAATTAACAAGATATTATAAATAATTACTATAAAGGTTATATACTTAAATGCTTAAAATATTCTTCACATTCATATTTTGCTCCTTCTATTTTGTCCCACATCACTATCCAATTAATTCCATGAACTCGTTTACCTATATTAAAACAAAATAATCAGTATTTATTGACGCTTAAAAATTTGTTTTAATAACATGTTTGTCATATGCAATTTTCTACATGTTATTGTTTTAAGGGGATCGGTAGCAGCATAGATTTAACATACATAGATAGCTAGCCAACGCCCGCGTAGAATTTGGAAATTATGTTCTTGGTGACACTACATGGCTCAGGTACAATTCTATAATATTATGTAGATAACGTCTAGCAGTGTCATCTACTGTCACCAAATTTTACATAGCCATTGGCTATTTGTGCATGTTTAATCTATGGTAGCTGACAGTTTGACAAAACATCACATCGATCAAACTAGTAATGAGATAATACTTTTGAACTGATTTGAGATTGGTTAGTCCACTTTTCCCAATTAATTTACATAAAATACACACTATTAAAAGTTAATTTGAAATAACTTGAAATATTTTTTTAAAAATACTGGGTGTGTTACAAACAAAAGTACCTTCTAATTTTTCAATCAGTTTGTGGTCCAGCACGGAGCAACCAATTTTATTATAGTATAGTAATTAATAGATACCTGATACCTCTTCTTCTATTCCTATTTTATTAATAATAAAAATATATTTACCATCAAGATTTTTCCGTACAATATCTGCATATTCGTGACGAATGAATTTTATTCTAGCACATGTATTATTTTTCTTAATAAATACAATATTATTCGGTGTAACATGTTCACACAAAATTTTCCATATATCTCCTTCTGTTGTATGGACATTCATGTTCCTGATATGTAATTGTTTCATCTGAAAAATAAAATTTAAACATTTTAACTTTTATAAAAGAAATTTGTTTTTTATATTATTTAATACTAACTCTTATCAAAACAGAATGTCGAAATACTGGTTCAGATTCTGCCCATTGAATTTTAATTGAAACTCCATTTATAAAAAATGGACTTTCAGCCATCGAGCGGCGAGCTAGAGCCGCACTCCTATGATCTTTGAATATTACAAAACAAAACTCTCTATTTTTGCTAGGATCATCCGTGTTATTGAAAACTCGTACTTTTTTTACGCCTTCTACACGTTTTTCAAATTCTATTTGCAATTGTTCTTCGGATAAATCCATGGGTATGTTTCTGGCAAATAATGTCCGATTATCAGTTGACATGCTCACCAATAAGTGACCTCTGATACCAGGAAGAGTGAGCTCATTCAGTTTAGCCAGCGCAATTTCGGCTTCCATAGGGCTTCTCATCATTACATAACCATATCCACGATTTGAACCAGAGAAATGCATCATTAATCGGATTTGATGAACAGTTCCAAACTAAATAAAATTAGGAATTTAGTTTTTGAAATTTACCAGATATAAATAAATATTACCTGTGAAAAAATAGCATAGAGAAATCCTTCCAAACAAGCTTTTGGTAATGCAACATATAGCTCACTACCACGTTTTGGTTCTTGTTTAATTGTTGACAATAATGTTTTTTGACCATTATTTTGAATAACATGTCTTTTATCAACTGAAATCAAACGCTGACCAATTTCTTCTATTTCAATCAAATTTTTTGATCTAGCTATAGCAGCACATATCAAATCTTCACGTGTAGGCTACAAAAATGAAATTTATTTTAATATATTCATAAATAATAGAAAAACAAATAGATATGCTTACTATATATTGGTCTTGAATTATAGAAGGAAATTTGAATACATTATCATTTCCCTTTGCAAATGACTCGGAAGTCTGAGATGGTGGAGTGTAAGGCGATGACATTGGTGAAAATGATGATTGCGAATAACTTGATGTACTGGACATGTATGATGATTGAGAATATGGTGATGGATATCGGGGTATAGGTGTAGGCTGAAATATAAATAACACTCAGTTAAATTTAAATAGGTATAATAGTATTTTTATCCCGAGTAAAATATATTGTAAGTTATTTAGGTAAATCATACCTTCACACTACTAAAATAGATTTATTTGTATGTATACCAGGAGTACGTAAAAACAAAACAGGGTACACTGTGTATATGTATTATATTACTCAGTAGTCAGTACCCTCTATACATATTCTGTTTACGGGACATGAAGCTAGGCAATCGGATCATTAATTTCCCACAGACAGAAGTCTAAAATATGTATAGGGATACTGAGTTATAGTGTACTATTATTTTCACACACACACACAAATATAATAAAAATATATAATTGATTAATAATATGATTCTTACACTTAAGAATTTAAATGATCAAACAATAATTAATTAAAGTTTTAAATACAAACCGTGTAGTAGTCGCAGTATAAAACATTGTTTTGAGGTGCACAAAACATTTCCATTTTCTTTTAGAAATTTTACAATTTCCACATAGACTAAACCCTAAACATAAAAACATAAATGTATTAATAAAAAATACTTGCATCATAATAATTATTTTAAAACAGTGCTGAAATAAAATTAGAATTCTATGTCTAAGAAATATACTATTACGAATTTTTTAAAAACTGCATTGATTAAAACGGATTACTATAAGGTGCCACCAGAGATTGCAAGATAAGTATTATCAAAAAAATAATTTTTTTTTACGGTTTCTTAATACACAAGATGAATTTCGTTTCTAAAAAAAAAAAGGTTACGGGCATTATATTGACAACAAGATTATGCAATAGACAGTTTTATTATTAACAAAAATATTTATCGGTATTGTTGGTATTCAGGAAAAAATAAAAAAAACTTAATTAGAGTAGAAATCGTATTATTGTTATTCCACCGCAGCAATATGCCCTTGCCTTCTAAAATAAATATTTATAGAAATACCGATGTTTAAATTAGAATATCGTAATATATTTAATTCTATTTTTCATAATACATGCTAGCAATAGTTTTTAAGTTGATAAAGTAAATGTAGGAAATATAATTATTTTAGAATAGGTAGGTAGTACGAATGTACGATATTAAACAGTATTATTACGGAATCAGTACAAATAAATAAATTTGACAAAAGGTTAACGGGCACAGTGTTATGTTGAGAAGCACCTCAAAAATACCTACCTATTATTATTGGGTACATTTATTAATTTAAAAATAAAAAATAAATAATGATAAATATAAAAATATACATCCAGTTATAATTATAGCTCAAAATGTTTACTCGGTATATACTTGGCGTGGCTATAATTATTTTACATCGAAATATTATTTCTAAGAGATTGTGTTTTATATAGCTTCCTTATCATTTTTTTTTTTTAACTGTCGCACGTGAGACTACAGTCATGTGGTACAATATAACATATTATTATCCATAGTTTAAGTAATGTTAATATTGCATAAAATAGTAGTGGTGTAAACCGCAATCCATCAGTTAATTTCAAAAATCATTTAAGGATTTTTAATTTTAACTAAAACAAATACGTATTAGTATGATGAATTTTAATTTAAATGAAAAAAAAACGACTTGTTGTATCCAAAAATAACCAAATTAATTAATAATTGTATATATACTGTGTTGTACTATGTTTTTTAACAAATTTACGAGTAACCAAAAAATTCAAAAGAATGGGGATCGTAAAAATCACAAATATAACAAATTATTAACAGGTACCCAACTATCACCGTTAAAACTATATAACAAAATATATTGGAATTCAGTTACTAACAAATCAAATAAATGACGAACGGAAAGATAAATATGAAGACAAAATAGTAATAGACATTATTTAATATTTTATTATTATTCAAAACGGTCAAAGGAAGTAACTAAAATTAAATTAAATGCGGTTCGTACGGGTAAAACCCATGCGGGTGTGCTACTACTTGCGTAACTACAAACTACTAACAAAATTACAAAAATGATAAAAAACAAAATTAATTTTAAAATAATCACTTGCCTTGTGGTCCAGAAAAATTCCAACGGATCGAACAGATAATAATTTCTTTTGAATGGATACAGAAGTGATCGAGATGTACCGGTGTAGTAAAATAATAAATCGGCGCCGGTTCTTTTCTTGTACGATATGAAGTACTTATTACAAGATTATAATAAAAAGTGCAAACTAATAACAACGATGTACATATAAACGTTTCGGAAACCCTCGAAGGAGAATGAACTACTGAAAAAACGTGTTAAGAAGACCTTACTGACACCGTCGGCGACTTGCAATTGAACAGTGATCTACGAAGGACTATCGAGCGTGATGGTCGAAGGAGTAATGAATAATGATCAAACGGTAACTCCGCGGCGGTCGGCACGCGCGATCCTATACGCCGTTTTTGTTTTCGTCGGTGGTGGCGACTGCGGCGGCGGCGGTGGTTGTCGTAGACCGAAGTCGGTTTTCCACGAACCGACGACAACAACAATTAATTGAATAATATTGTAATATACATCGACGCCCGTTTTATTATACACGTTATGAGTATAATAATAATATTATTATTATTATTATTATGATTAATACAATATACTACGCCGTATAATATAATAACGTTTTTGTTGTTGTCATTTTCTGTACAACACACACGACTGAAAATCGTTTTATGGTTACAGTAGGTGGGCCCGTCGGGGGATGGTCGATTAGATCATTATCCTCGACTTTCCTCAACGAAAGAGAATTTGTATTTATTTAAATTGTAAAATAAAATACTCATGTTTGATACTTTGTTTTGTCTCAGACTATGTCCATATCACGAGGAGTAGGGACGTAGGGTACAATAGTATAGCCGTGTTAAGTGTTTAAATCACTTATTGGTTTTTTGTTTACTACAACAGTCATTAGTCATTACCAAACGACGATTCGAATTAAATAAGCAAACATTTTTTATAGAATGCGCATATTTTGTGCTTTCCTCTCGAGGAGTACATGGAACAACGAATACGGTGGGCACAATAGGCGACTGTTTAGCATTTGCGCGTACTTGAAACTGTATAAAATGGGTGTCTACGACTGTCTGTACAAACGTAATTATTGAATCTTATAGAAAACTGTGAAGTGTGAATTAAATTATATTCTACCGATATTTACGGGTCTTGTTGAGATTATTACAGTCAACAATATTATAATACTCAATAGAATTAATAGTATATTAAATTTATTAATATCCTAAATATTAAATATTTTATTCGATGACCGGATGTGTTGTGCTTATTACAAATAATTAAGTCAACAATAAATTCCAATACTCAATATTACATTTATTAATATCCTAAAATATATCATATATTTTATTCCATGACCGGATCTGAGTATTCGACTTGAAATTAAATAATATCTAAAAATAATATTCAATTGTTTACGGTGCAGGTTTTAATATTGGGAATAAAAATAACACGTTCAATCCATAGAAAATAGATTAAATGGTTCAATCAGCGTCGTATTCAGTCTTATCGAAGGAACGTGGTAAAAAAATTAAACTTCCTTTGCAAAAATGACTCGTTTTTAAGAAAACGCCATGTGTGATCTAAATCTTACAAACGGACATCATAGAAAATTTGCGTTAACTATAAAATCAACTTATAGAACCAATTTTATGTGATTCGTTAAAATATTAGTATATTAGACCAAATATTTTTTTTATAGTCTATAACATTTTAACTCGCTTAAAAATTAAAACTTATAAAAATGTTAACACCTACCCTGAATTATTATTGACTATTGTTTTGTTATATTGTGCGTTTCTAAGACGGAGACCACACATACACAATACACACGGACCGCAAGCACACACTAATTACACAATACAAATTATTATCGAATTCCAACGAAAATAATTTTGTTCCAATAATTTTGTGTTCGATATTATCGCGAAGCATGTTATTTTCAAGCGTAATAGTCAATAGGTACTCGGTATATTAATTTAACGACGTTTGTCGTGGTAGGTAAAAGAAACGAAAAACGCTGGAAATTGAATTCGGATTTTCCACCATAAACACATTCATAAAAGTAATTGTCGTTTTCCGTTCAGACCAATTTCGTAGAACTCTGTAAACACTAAACTTGAGCCGAACTCATAGAAGTCAAGATCTAGGTATGCGCTTGCGCGTGTGGACGTGTACAGAGTACATCACGATGTAAGAATGTAAGATAGGATAAATCGAAATGCTATATTATCCAGAACCATATTTTCAAATCATTAGTCCCCCAAAAAAATATACAGTTTTTAATTGTGTGGGATCGAAGCCCCCCCCCACTCACATTGATATTAAAAATGTTAGCCCCCTCCAGATGTTTTAATGGATTTTCGTCAATGTCCAGAACTCATAATATTACCATACAAAACTATTTATATCGTCATGGCTCTAGTACCTATATCAAAATTCACATCGTTTATTTAACTATAGTCTTGCACATTATTATTTATTAGTTTATTACGTACGTCCAATACGTCTAAAATAGAGTCGTGAATACAACTTTTTTTCGCGTTTTAGCATTTATTTTAACACGTACGATGTACATTAATATTAAAATATTATTACGTACAGTTGTATAAATGTTGAGTATTTACTATTTTATGCTTTTGTAATCATTAATCAATATTGTTTTCGAAGGAAAATCGACCGTGGTACTGAGTTAGTTTTTCTGTTGGAAATCAAAATTATTGTTATTTGTCTTAAACAGTGGCGGATACGAGGGAGGGACAAGGGGCTTTCGCCCCCTCCCCATTGGGCAACCTTTTTAACGTTATTTTCTATCATAATATTTGGCTTAACAAAGATGCAATTTAATTTTTGGAAATTCGCCCCCCCCCCGCCTTTGGTGACGTCTGGATCCTCTACTGATCTTAAGACACATTGTTTAACTTATTTTTATTGTTATAGATGCAGATAGGAAAATTAATTTCCAAATGAGCTTGTGCTTGACGAGCGACGTTTCGTGGGTACTTGTACCCAAATATTTAGAACTGATGTACATGGCACGCAATTTTAACATAAAAGTCGATCCGAGTGGATTGTCTCCAGGCGTGCACACCACTACGTAAGTCATGAAACTATTACAAAATATAAATGTATTACATAATCATTAGTGGCGTCATTAGAAGTAAGGACACGGGCATTTGGATTTGGTATTGTTGCCTTATTAAATTTTTAAAGGCTCCCCATAAGAAAAAAAAGTTGTAATACAATACTAATATATTTTTACCCATGTCTAATGTATAATTTCTATATAGTTTAGTAACTGGTTTTCCTTACCTTGTTTATTCTATAGTTTTTATTAATTTATTATTACTAGTAATTAGTAGTATCGTTGACACTTTGACAGTCAACTGTTGTAGGTATTTATATTTTTACATTATGGTATATCGTGTAAAGACAAATTTCTAATTTTATAAATATCCAATAAATAATAATACGGTCGATAATATTGAGAAATACCAAATAACTGAAATAACTACAGTCGCTACTGCGCCAGCTACATGAAACGGTACGGTGCACGGTCCACCGCGGACGCGGTGGTGGCCAGGGGAATAACCTATAATTAATAAAGATCGGATTTATATGCATTTAAAATTTTAAAATATGCTCTTAAAAATCACTAAAGAGGCAAAATATTTTTTTGAATTTTACAGCTATTTATTTATTGTAAAGTTATAAAATAAAAACATTAATGATAAAAAAATGATTATAATATCAATTATTAATAAACTACAATCATAGATATATACAAAAACTATATATAGATAGTCGTCTCTTTCTTGTCATCGAAATCGGCCTCCATTTACAAAGCATTCAATATTTACAAAATAATATTATCACAGTATATATGTATAGATAAATACATATGTATATAAAATATAAATCAATGTAAAATAAATGTAAACATTGTCTGCTTTATAAATGGCTGCCGATTTCAACATAGGTCACAACTGAAGTATAAAGACGGCTATCTACTATCTAGTTGTTGTATATATCTATGAATACAATATGATATACATTTTTTTTTTTAATTACGATGAAAACATACAATTTAATTGTAATTTTAAAAACAATAAGTTAATAATTTCCAAATTGATCTTGGTTAAATTATAACGACGGTTTGTAACAATGGGTTTGTATTCAGAAAAACTTCGTTCCACATCAACGCTTGTTATGGGTGCAAATTTAAAACTTTAAAACTCGACAACATCTCCCGGGGGAATATGAAAGAAGAATCCTTGAAGTTGACATTCTCACCTTGGTGTATTTTAGAAATTTCTTTTAAAATTAGCAAACCTTTATTTTTATAAATAATTTAAGAACATTTATTTTAAATTAATATTATTTTCATTTTCATAAAGATTATTAATAGAAATTGTAACTTGTTTAAAAATTGTCCAAAGCATCTATGAATAAGTAAACCTGAAGTCTCAAGCTTTTTAATACTTTCAACCATAATGAAATGAAAAAATTGTTCTAATACAAGTTAAATCGTTAATTTTATTTGATTTCGTTACAATAATTAATATTTGTTTACAATTTTTAAAGCTTTTGACATAATCTTCTTGTATATTTTGAATAACAATTTTAAAATGTTCAAAATTATATGCTAAAAATATACGATATGAAAACCAATATGTAATTAATTAGGTACCTACCAAAGTACCAGCTAAAACGATCTAAGAAAACCTAATATTATATTATTTTTTATAATATTTTAAATTTTTGTGTTGCGGAATAAATCTATATAATATATGTACCTAATAATTGTATATAAAATTAAAACATTTAAATGTATAATTAATATGCAAAAACATGCGTTTTTATGGATAATATGCACTTCAACCCATAATTTGCAAAAATATGCAAAATCTTTTCTTTACCTATAATGTTTAAAGTAAAAACCATGGCTCATGAGTGGAACAAATATTATTTAATACTTACATATTTGTTTGTAAGAGAGTTGGTCTAAGTATTGACCGTAATACTTTATGCATGTGAACCTCTCAACCGACTCAACCGCCTCAACTAACTATTAAGTAATCAGTGGCGTCAGGGGGTGGCTAAGGGGGCTATAGCCCCCCCCCATTGACCGATGTTGACCTTAGAATTTTATCAAGATTAATAAAAAAATTAAAAGCGTAAATAAAAAACACATTGTATTTGTATACTTAGCCCCCCCCATAAAAAATTCCTGGCTACGCCACTGTAAGTAATATTATACTTGATTAGTATTAATTTATTTTTTTTTGGTCAGCGTGAGAGCTTATGATGTAAAAAACACAGCAAAAGGCCCGGTGTTCACCTTTGAAGTCACTGTTGTCCGGCCAGTGAAAACCGATGATTCCGGTTCATTGTCTTATGAAAACGTAAATTTCAATCCAAATTCCCTAATAAAAAGGAATTTTGTGCTTGTGCCGAACAACGTAACTTGGGCCAGTAAGTCAAATTTATTATAAATATTATTACAATAGTATTACAACTATTTACAATAAATTGTATTATTCAAAATCAAAATTGTGTTTTAATATTTGCAGCTCTCCACATAAAACATCTTGACACCGACGTCAGTTCTAATTTCTGCCTACATACTGTTCAATTATTGCCTCAAAAATCGTGCAAATTCATGGAGTATTATAAGATGTTTAACTTGAAGTCTAATGAATTCCAATCCCATTTCGCAGTTGAGGTATGTTTTAAGTGTTTTGACTTTGTCTATAATTGTCATCATGAGTCATGACACTTTATAGTATAATATATTGTAAGTATAGGTATTTTAGAATCTATAACTATTATTGTACTGGTGGGCGACATCTTGGGAGGTGGGAAGAGGGCACGAATTAAGATATACTTTAGTATAGTCTGTTCATTTTAAGAAGCGATTCAGGCGGCCACTAGTAAAACCGGTTTTCAAGCGTAAATCAGGTCGCTTCTTATTTTGAACAGGGTATAGAAGAGAGGTAATATAAATATTATTCACTTATGCATATTGAAACACAATTAAAATATTGTTATTTTATATTTGTACATATTAATTAAGCACTAAGTAGGTACAATAGCAGTGGCGGAAACGAGGGGGGAAGGGGCGTTCGCCCCCTCCCCCTTGGGCTGCCTTTTTAACGTTATTTTCTATTATAATATTTGGCTAAACAAAAAAACAGTTTAATTTTTGAAAATTCGCCTCGCCTTGGGTGACTTCTGGATCCTCTACTGTACAACAGTTACAATACACAAGTATAATATTATGACTTGGGTTTAATGTTTAGTGATTTGTATTATCTATATAAATAGGTCAATATCATTATAAAATTAATTTATATTTTATATCCATTGACGATATTAATGCCAGTAAAACTATAAAAAAAAAATATATATATATATTATAGAATATAGGAAAAAATTAAATTTTTATAAAAAAAATGTAATAAATAATGTGTTTGAAACTAAAAAACTGTATAATACTATAATGTATACTTAATTTTCAAATTAATGAAGTCTAGTTTTTATAATATTACGTAATGAAGTACAATTTTAAATTAGTACCTTTCAAAGAAATATATTTTCAATATATTTTATAGTTACTATGTATCAATATAAATTTGAGTTAAATTGAAAATGATGTTTTGTACTAATGTATTGACGTACTGTACTTAATAAATAAAGTCTTTAAAGGAATTTTATTATAAATTCTTATAACGTTGTTGAGTGCATTTTATCCAAGAATGTTTTTTCAAAATATTCAAAGAACAGATTATCAATTTCCAGTTTCTTCTAAAACCTAAAGTACATAATATTATTTACTGTTACGAACATGAATTAATTTATTACATTTTAATCATACCGAAGATACGAGATCGACTGGTGGCTGTCAATATAATAATTAACGATAAAATATATTGTATAGGACTATGGAAATTTTTCTAAGAAAAAAACGTCACCTACTATTTAATAACTGATTATTATCAAAAATCAAAATCGACGAATCATGAATATTGTTATAATTTAAACAATTTATGAAGTGTATTTATAAAGTTTATTTGTTTAAAATCTTAACCAAAACAAAAAGTTAGTATAAGTAAGAGAAAATATACAGCATATTATTTTTATGATATAATACTATTTAATATTAAAAGAATCAATGTTTTATAGTACCTACCTATTATTATTACGTATTTAGGTCTATAGTATAATATATTTAGATTTAATATTTTAGAATTAGGAATAATAACTTATTACTATTTATTAATAACTACTTATTCAATTTCAAATTATCAACTTCTATATTATGTACTTGATTTTATAAGAGTATGTCACACCCGCCGTACAACTATTTAGCTCATCAACTGTTTTAGCGCGGGACAACTTTTATCTTTCTGTGTTAGTAGTAGTGCCTCCAAAATTTCTGTACATTACATAGGGTGGAAAATTATCTATGCAACAGCGTGCCCATATTTTAGATAACATAAATACAATAAAAGTTATTTGCTTTTAACATTTGGTTTTTGTTTTAGATTCTAAGTGGAACGATGAATGTATTGATTTTACAATGATGTGTGTGTTTTTTTTTTTAAATTTTTAAATTTTTAAATTTTTTTTTGTTTCTGTGTACACGATAAGTAGTCAAAATAATGCTTCGATTTTCAACTTCAATATCTTGTTCGATTGGAAAGTGAATATCGTTGGTGCATTGAGGAGGTCAAAATTTAAAATTCCCAGTAATTTTCAAAAGCGCCAAGAAGAACAAAAGAAAAATTAAGGATAAACGGGAATTTTTACGCAAAATCGATTTTTCACAAAATTGAATTTGGTTTTTGGTGTAACTTTAAAACAAATGACCGTAGATACATGACATTTTCACTGGTTGTTTATAGTTGCATTATCTATACACGATAACCTTTTTCAAAATATTTTGATTTATTTTGAACTGTTTAGGGACATTTTCATTTTCCATTTTTTTTTAGTTTTTAAATATTTTAGTTTTTATATCAATAAAATTTTATTTGTTGGTTAAAAAAGCTTGAAAATTTAATACCATGCTCCTAGTATATTTTTTCAAAGGCAGATGAAAAATATTAAAATTCCTTAGCCACAGTTTTTTTTTTATAAGCATTTAAAGTTCAAAAATTGACAAAATATGGAAAAATCACGAAAATTTGCAAATTATTTTGAGTTAAGAATTCGTAAAAATTTTTCTTTTTAAATCTAAGATTTTAAAATGTAATACAAGATTCCTTATAAGATTATCTACCTTTATCAAAAAAAAAATGTCAATAAGAAAGTCAAATTAAATATTTATGAGCGTTTGAAATTAAAATTTTTACAACATAGGATATTCACTCGATTTCTCATGTATAGCGATTTCTTTATTTTGTTATTATTCAAAAACGAATAACTGTAGATACATGAAAATTTCACTGAATATTTATATTAGCATTTCCTATACACTATACAATTTTGAAAATATTTTGACTCTTTTTGAGCCGTTTACGGACAATTACAGTTTTCAATTTTTTTAGTTTTTTTTTTTCTATAAATATCAATAAAGTTTTATCTGTTGGGCCAAAAAGTGTTAAAATTTAATACAAGGCTCCTGATATATTGTGACAATATCAGTTGAAAAAAATTTAAAATACATAGCCACAATTTTTTTTTGTAAGCATTTAAAGATCGAATTTTGACAAAATTTATCAAATTTAAAATTGAATAATTATTTTGTAGTTAAAAATTTATAAAATATTCAACTTTTATATCTAAGGATTGAAAATTTAAAACAAGATTCCACGTAAATAGGTTATAATATATAACCTTTATATATACCTATATAAATTACTTTATTCACCTTAATATCATCAAATATACTTCGTAATATCGTAGGTTGACCGTTTTCGCTCAGAATCATTTTTCTTATACAATGGTATTATATCATTGAATTCAAATTTAACACCATCCATTGCAGACCCACTGGCCACTTGTAACGTACTGTACAGCGGAGCGACTATTTTTTAAAATATTTAATTCAAATACAAAATATGTATTTTATAATAATATGATGTATAGTAATATATTATTTATTTATATTTTGGTTTATAATGGGCTTCTTTAGTCATTTTTATATTTTTTTCATTAACATTTTCTCATAGTTATATTTTGTAGGATATTATGTTCTGTATACAAATCATTTGGTATAGAACTTTTGCGAAGTAAGTCGCAAGAAGTTCCGACATTCCACAAAAAATAAGGCAATAGCCGCCTCCCCCCAAAAAAAAAAAAAAAAAATCATCACGCTATGCCAATGCCTTTTGGGGTCAAATGCACCTGCATGAGTCCTGAATTTTATATTTTATGTAAAATCGTAGAAATATTTTTTTTCATCACATTTTTATATTTTGCATAAGAACCAATGGCTTATTTAACTTTATTAATTATTTATTTTTTAATTTTTTTGTTAGAGAATATACAATCTATACGTAAAAGCATAATAAGAATGTGCTACAACAATTTATTAAAAAAACCCCTTTATTTAAAACCCCTGAAAATATTTAGTTATTTGAAGTTTGAATTGCTGTATAATGTTAATGTATTTATGTAAATATGTACCCATGTATTTATGTTTAAAGTTTTTATTTTAATAGGAAAATGTGGTATTAGAGATTGCGTTGGCAAAATATTGGCCGAGTTGTTCAAATATAATACTATCGTACAAATTACAATTCCATGGTGTCATACCTCAATCGAAAAACATAGCGATGTATCACGGAATGGGCTTACAGTCGGTGATGTTGAAGCCTGGTGTTAAGAATGAAGAAATCCAACCATCTGTTTCTTTGAAACACCTTATTACCGTTCTTAGGTATGCTTATCTATTTATTAATTATTTTACTTAGTACTTGGCATTGATTATTATATATTATTTTATGGTACTTGTGATATGGAAGTTGTGAGTCTTACATGATAATCATTAGACATTATTCGGTTTTTAACAGATTTAAATAAAAATTATTTACTGTACCCAAAGTTGCCAAGGTGGATCTTTTTAACAGAGAACATTCATAATTTTGTTAATTATAAACTCTTTTAAAAATTATTAAGATCCATATGCTGTAGTCTAAAGTTTTACTATTATGCCATTATGGCATTTACCCTTATTTTTATTGCCGAACCGTCTGTTTTAATTTTCAAATAACAATCAATTATAATTAATATTATTTATAATCTAAAGTAGAATTATATTTTTTAAAAGTCTGCATAGTATAATATACAATATGTCAAATATCAAACAAGAATTTTGTTAAATTTAAAGGTAAAATACATTTATGGTTTAGGATTCCATTTGAAAATAAATATTTGATAATTGAACCAACATCAGTGGCAGCCGGCTGGCAGTATAAGTACATTTACATTTTTAAAAAAGAAGGTTTTGAAATTGTTTATACTTTTTTAACTTCTTTACCGGTAAAAGATTCACTACCTGTTTACCTGTCTACCTGTTTGACTTACCTGTCTACCTATGTGGCTATGTCTATGGGTTTCAACCGGCTTGACATGTCATCCAACTATCCTATAGAAACACATTGAACCAGCATAAGGGTGACATACTGACATTCACGGGAAAAGCAAAAAAAAATAAGATAATTATTAATTTTTTCAAATAAAAATATATTTTTGTGGCCTTCATGTAATGATCACTAACGTCAGAACAACATAATAATATAAAATATATAATACTTTATATAATTCACTATTATTTTTCAATATTCGTATTTTATTTAATTTGACTAATTCATTGAACCTTGCAACTCAAATAAAGTGTTTAGTTGTATAAATATTATTTTTCTGTATTTTTTAATAAAATGAAAGGTGCTTCTATTTTTCTTCTAAAATGTACAGTTTAAATTGTTCAATATATTTATGTTAGGGGGACTACTAGTGGGTAAGGGTGAAATGAAACAAAAAAGGTTGAGAACTACTGACCTATGAGGCTACGTAATCAATGTATTATTTAAACCAGACAAAAATAATAAAGAGTGAAAATATTTTATAGGTCAACTTTTTCTGCTTTACATTTAAAGGTCCCCACACACTGCAGCTGTGGATGTGGTGTTAAATTCTATTCTCTTGGTTTTACCGCCGCGGTGAACGGTGAAATGTGTCCTGCAGCCATTCACCGACACCTCTGCAGTGTGTCTTAGTTTAAAGTCTTCATCTTAATACTAATAATTAATCACTTGATTTACAATTTTTTAGACCAAATGAAGGAAAAATCACTGCTTTAACTTATCGTGATGTCATTCCACCACAAAGACCAATCTACCAATTAAATTTATCTTATGCCTTCTCTTTGCCAAAATCCACTGAAGCTTATGCAACTTGTGGTTTATTTGGTGAACTTTTGTATGAGAACGAATACGAATCCCAACTATGGATGTTGTTTGATTCAAATAAACAGTATATTGCTGCAGGCGATGCATATTCTAGTAGAGTATGAATTTTTAAACAAACAATATTATTTATTTATATTCCAATTCAATATACCTACTTTATGTGTTGTTATATTTTGTATGTATAGCATGTGTATAAACTTGATAAAGGTGATTATACTATTAAAATGCATGTACGGCATGAACGGAGAGAGTTATTAGACAAAATTATTGACCTACCTATACAAGTGGTTCAAAAATTACAAAACCAAATTAACTTAGATGTGTACAATAGTCATCATCAAGCTACAATTTTTGGAAAAAAATCTTCATGTTTTATTATGACTCCTAATGGTGCTTTGTGCAACCTGAATATCGGATCACTTTCTATTGATAAGTATGTATGCAATAATTATTAAAATATAGTCCAACTTACATAATTTTTTTTTTTAGAATCATTTCATTGAAGTTATTACCTGGACACTGTTTGACTGGAAATATAATATACGCTAAAGACGAAAATGGAAAGAAAGTTGTGAGTATTTATTCAATTGATTTGATATTTATGTAATGGTAGAGTTAAAACTTAAAAGGTTAAAGTTACTAATTATTCCTAACCAATAATTTACGTAATTTCACATGTTGAATATATTGTTATTAATAAGACAAGAATTTGTATGTAAATACATATTTTTATTAAACTTTCAATTTAATTATAATCAGCAATGAATTACTCACACAAATTATATTATGTGATTAAAATAATTAAGCACAAATTTATTTTTAAATAAATGTTGTATGTTTAGGATACCTACGATTTCAAGTACTTCATAACTGATACATTTAAACCAAAGAATGGACTAAAACCGGTAGAAGAAATTAAGACAAAGCTTGAGGAATTCAATGAAGCAATGTGTGAATCCAAATTAAATTGGTTAACAAAATTAGGTATATTCTGATGAATTTGTTTACCATAATGTACTATACACTTTATGTATTTAAAAAAATAAAGATAATGTATTAATTTATATTTTATAATCTGTTAGAGTATGGGGAAGATTCCAGAAAGTTGTATGACAGTTTATGTGAAGAATTTGGAGATAAAAATGCTTCTGTTCATACATCATGGATACAATGTATCGAACCAGAAGATAAAAAAAGATTCCCTTATTTTGAAATTCCTGACTTTGATTTAGAAAAAGTAAAACTTATAATCGCTGCTGCCGATCGGGCTCTAGCCATTATTGATCAAGATGAACTTCTTGCATTTTATGGAATTAAGTCTGATCAGAGACCTGAAGCTTCTAAACTTAAAATGTAATATATTTGTGTATTTTTAAAATCAAATTTTAATAACTGTTTACATATTTCAGATCTAATGACCGTTTAAAAAATACTGTGGTTGAAGCACTAAGTCGCAAAGGTGCAGCATTGTGCCAATTGTACTATTATAACAATGTGATTACCAAAATTACAAATGAAAATGACTTACAGGAAATTGATGACATTTTGCTACAAGTTTCCTGTTTTATTTCTCCAGATTCTGATTCTAAAGTTTGTTAAATTTTAAAACTATAATTTTTCATTTGATTCTAAATTTTTAATTATATTTCAGAGCTTGAATTATTTTAATATTTGGCACGGAGCAGTGTATCAAAATTATGGACGTATGATGAAAATACTTTTGAGGATGTTGGAGGATAAATATATTAAAGATGTTGAAAGTTGCTTGTTGTGGACTGTGAATGTTAAGTTTGGGGCTGATGCCAGGCACTTAGCATCTGCTATGGTGAATGCATTAATTGTTCACTATCCAAAAACTTTCCGTCCATTTTAATATAGGTTAATTTCTTTGAATAGATTACGGTAACATTCTAAAGTATACCGTATGAATACACAAAGTTTAATAAATATATTACTTACAATATTGTGTTTTAAAGCACAAAAGTAATCTAAATAACATTTTTCATTTTTAATAAAATTATATTCTATCATTCTTTAATTGTTTATTTTTATTTTAAATAATATTGGTTACTTAGAACAATTTAGAATAGCAGCTTGTCTAGTAGGAATCTAGGTCAATTTATTGGTCCTGCGAAAAAATGTTGAATGCAAACAAACAATTGACCACCATCATAATTTTATACACGGACAATTTGTTCCCCGGCTTAAAAGTTAAATATAAAATATTTTTTTAAACATAAAACATTCTTGTAAGTTGCATTAAATAATAATTAGAAAAAAAGGTACTTATCGGTTATTACGACTACCTAACCAAATAGTTGTTCGATAATAAATATACAATTTCATTGGTAAATTTGATTGAATACCTTTACTCAGCGTAATTTAAAAAATTGAATTAAAAATTATTAAAAATTAAAACTATTATAAAAACTAAGAATACAATTCAATATTAGAAATTAACTTGAGGAGGAAAATGTTCAGCCATGCAATTTAAAATGCCTTTAAATGGAATATCATGCTTTTGACGCCACATAAATTCAATCAAATCACTGTCTAGATCAGGGATGGCCAACTCGCAGCCCGCCTTAGAAAACATTTATCAAATATTTACAAAAAAAAAAAAAATAGTTAATACATCAAAACTTATTTTATAATAATAATTATATTTGTTTATAATGTTTACTCCATTTTTTTTGTATTGGGGCAAAATACAAAATACTTTTATAAATTTTATATGTGGTCTAATTTTGAATAATAAAATATGTGATTTTATTAATATTTGTTACTGCCTTTTTTTTTGGCAACTCTATATATATACAGGGTGTCTTTGAGGATATACCTATTAGCCGTAGAGGGGGACTCGTCGCCCGGACAAAAACCGGTGTTTTGCCGTTTTACTTATTAATTAAAAAATTATTAAAAATCAGGTAATTAATGAAATTAAAATGTTGAAACTTCAATATTTTCAGAAAAATGAACTCTACAAAATGGCAATCTTCAATATTTTTTTAAATAATTAACTAAAAAAATAATTTTTTTAACTTTTTTACCAAAACATAAAAAAAATAAAAAATTAGTTATTTGTAGTTCTTACCTCTGTGAGTCTTAATAAGAAAACAGAATTACGATATCTCTATTATTTCAGGAGATATCGCAATGAGTAAATCCTCACGGGACACCCTGTATATGGCCCGCAGGATTGTAATGTATTTACAAAGTGGCCCGCAGGATCATTTGAGTTGGCCATCCCTGGTCTATATGTTGACAAGCCGGACCTCTATGTTTGTTTTTGCACAATTTAGAGAGTCCCTACAACCTTTCTCAATACAAAAAATAACTCCCCAAAAACTTTTAATAGGTACAAATAATTTGTCATATAATGCTGAAAGAAATTAACATGCATTCTATTTGGCTTATTTATTGGTTTTAGATATTTTAATTTGAAAAGTTTGTACTCTACTACTGTGATTCATTCCAATAAAGTAACAGTATAAAAACCTACAGACATTTGATCATACTATAATAATATAATAATGATAAAAAATGATAAATCTAAATAATCAAAATTCTTTTATTTTTGATAGTTGTAGGTAGTATGAAAATAAGCAATACCGCAGGGGCCTGAATGTTCTGGTTACAAAGCAGTTCTCACGGAAATTGTGGATTTTGATTTTAACTATATTATTATGAGTTACCAATTTATTTCATTATTTATAGGTACCGGTGGTGATTATGAAATTTAATTAATATATGATTTTGTCTCAACTCCCAATATGTTATTATAAGAAAATAATATAAAAAAATAATCAAAATATTTAAATTCTTGAAGTAAGATACTATGAACTATCTTAGTTCATGATCCTAATAAATTTACAATCAAAATATTTACAACTAAAAACTATATGGTTATGATAACTCTGCAGGGGATGCCATGGCATTTTCCCTGTGCACGCTTATGGGTTAACATGTAAGATGGTAGTATATTTTACACTATTAAATTAAACATAGAAAACTGGGGGACGGAGTGGCCGAGCGGACTAAGGCGTCGGTTGCGACATACACCGACTCTGGTTTGATACCTTAGCCATGAGCGGCATTTTTCTTCGGGCAAGTCAAGGTGTCCTGAGAACAAGTGCCGCCATCCCCCACCAGGGCATGGCAGATACCTAAGGGTGCCCAAATCAAAAATTCTGCCAAAACAAACACACGTGTCCTCCCCCCCCTACCAACAAAAACAAAAAAATAGCTAATAGCCTAAGCTTCCAAGCTCAAGATTAATAATAAAAAAAAAAATAATTGTAGAAATATCAGCTGCAAAAGCAACAAATTATACCATTCAACCATTGTCAATATTAATTGTGTGTTCAAAATAGAATTTTGATTATGTCACACTTTGAATGTTGGAGTTATCTATGGGTATATCAGTGTATTAAATTACAAACAACTATTCATCTTTATCTTTTTATTAACTTTATTGTAAATTCAAAATTTGACACAAATTAGTAATTACTAACTTATAGAGTAACTTTTTCAAGCGTATCTGCATATTGAAAATCAGGGCAGTTTTCATATTCACACATATCTAATGCAACTTCACAACTTTCTTTGACGACTACCTTCTGATCATTTATATACTGTTTTAATATATCATAGCAGTCATCTGTTGCAATTGCACCTAATGCTTCTGCACATTCATGTCGGACCATATCATTTTGATTTTCATCTATTAATGATTCTTTTAGATATGGTACACTAAGTGGTGATTGTAATTGTCCCAAAACAAATGCTATTTCATGTTTAAACAATGCACTTCCACATGATAACGCTAGATAAAAATATTATATATTCATTGTTAATATTTTTTGTAATGTAATACATTTACAGTATGTATATTTTTTTAATTACCTTTAGAAAGAATAGTGATACTTTCAGGTGACGCAATGTCTCGTAGTGAAAACATTGCTTTATATCTATTAAAGAGGCTTTCATTTTCATCTGTAAGAATTTGTTCAAGTTCTTCTATGCTTTTTATCTTAGAAGGAGGTGCTGGATCTACAGATCCATAAATATTTTCGATGTTTGCTTCATTTTTGGGTAGTAAAAGTCGTCCTAAAGCCAATTGACAGGTCTCAGCTAGTTCTACCACGGGGTCATTTTTATATTCTTCCAAAATCGGTATAACATTTTCTTTACCAATAGCTCCCAGTGCTTCAGCTTAACATAAATACAACAAATGTTTTAACATAGGTACAAGTACTTTAAACCAATGGTTTAGCACAAAATAGATTTGGGTGTTGGATACTTATTAAAAATTAAAACTACACATTTTTAAATAAGTATGTCATAATATGTCATATGAGTGCATAAGACGGTGTTTATAAAATTAAATACCTAAATAGAGATGTTTTTTTATTAAATAATTTATTGTAATACCTGCTTCGTGTCGAACCATAGGCTCTTGTTTGACATCTTTAAGTACTTCGATTAAGCAAGGAATAGCATATTCATCTCTCATTTGTCCTAAGCAGTATGCCAGTTCATGTTTTAGCAAACATGAATCATCATTGAAACACTTAGCTATATTTTCAATGGCTAAATTTCCGCCTAAGTTTTTAAGCGTAAATAGCGCTCTAAAGCGTTCTTTCATTGGTAACTTTGTGTTAGCTAATACTGTTCCTATACGACTGATGGACTCTTCTGATGCGTCGACCATATTGACAATAATAATGAATAGACAGGTATTATTTATTTGGACAAAATATTAAGAAAAAAAGTTTACTTTTTATGTTTAAATACTCAATAGTAAATAAATAAATAGATAATAGTTATTGGTTATTAGTTATTACTTAGGTTCAACCATAGAGTATAAAGTAAGAATACTGGAAACCGTAAAATTTAATAATTGATTAATTGAATATTATTAAATAGATAAATTTAGTATTTACTATAAAATTAATGATTATGGATAAAATCGTGTAATCAACCACGTCGAAGTCTTAAAAAAAAAAAAAAAATGGAAAAATCCCTTTATTGAAAATTAAGCTAGTTCGCAATGTTGGTAATATTCATTTATTGATTTTTCGATTTAATTTTTCACTTTCTATAGCTGTTTGCGCTTATATATTTATATAAACCTTAAACATACTACAAACGTTTTAAGTTAGAATAGTATTTGAACAAGAATAAGAAAGTCTATTTATTTTCATTAAATACTTACTGCTTTAGCGGAAAAGTTTGTTAAAAAAATTTTTTATCTAACTTTCAAAAATTAACTTTTGGGTGTGTCCGTCTCATATCAGTTCAGATGTTATCGAAAACAAATGATCATACTGTTAACAAGGTCTCTTTCGGTTAAGGCGTGTTCCAGTCCAGAAAGTGTCTATTTTAATTAATTGCATTTTCTACTTTAAGACTTAAAGTTACTTTATCCACTCAAGAGTAAGTATACTAGAGGTTCGTCCTTTTTTTTTTTTACCGATTCATTTGCATACCCAATATTTGTACAATTGTACACAAATTTTGGAATATTCTATTCAATAGTCTCAGTATTGGCCCTGCCCATTTTTTCTGCTCCATTCCATTAATGTTATGTCTTTTGATTGATCTAGGTACCAAGTCGTTTTGTGCATAATTTATTTAACTGTATCTCAGTACGATGTCGGAATATTGGCTGATATCTGCTCCTGGAGACAAAACTTGCCAACAGACCTGGGAAACCCTCAACAACGTTACTAGCAAGCAGAATAGTTTGTCCATCAATTACAAATTTCACATACCTGACTTGAAGGTGGGCACTTTGGATCAGTTAGTGGGATTGTCTGATGATTTAGGAAAATTGGATAGTTTCGTTGATCAAGTTACCCATAAGGTGGCATCTTACTTGGGGGAAGTACTGGAAGACCAACGAGACAAACTGCAGGAGAATTTGATGGCCAATAATGGTATGTATTATCTAGAATGGTTTTTTTTCAACCCATTGAATAACAATGACGAAAATCCCATGTAGCTCAAGTGACTTGTCTCTGTAGTGTACTTACCTGTCCTACTTACTTTTTTGAAACATTATTATTTATATCCTGGATTTTTATTGGTCATTTTAGTTAAGTTTTTCCTTTACCCTTGCATCCATGTGTCAATATTAATATATATATATATATATATAACTTTTATACTATTAACTTATTTGTCATCCATAATGGAAAAACATTTAAAGCTAAAAAGGCCAACAAAAAAAATATACATATAGAATCAAAATGCACTATAATTTATTTTATTAGAAATATAACATTTGGTACTATTGTTATAGTATAATTAAGTTAATTTAATTTTTCTACGACATGCCAAAATGAAAATCTAATGCATCCTATAGATGGTTGCGTGTGTGCGTGTTCACAGTTTATTTTTCCTATATTGTGATCATAATTTTTAGAGCACAAATTTTAAAATATAAAACTAAATATTGCATCAATTTGTTATCTATATCATTTTAATAATAAAAATTATTTTCAAACCTTTTTCACTCATCTATTCTTATATATATTATGTTTACCACATAGGTATTTTGATAAATAAATAAATATACATAATATAGTATATAATATAATATATTATCAATTACACCAAAGTGTTTGCATAATTCAAATAATTTCAATAGATGTTTAAAATATTTTTCATGCACATTCAAAAATAATAAATATATTTTGTTTCAAAATGTATTTTAATTTTATTTATCATGTAGCTTATATAATTGTTAGTTCTTCTTTTGATGGATCAAAATACAAATTAATAATTTTATTGTATTAAACCATAATTATCTATTAAGAAATTAAAATAGTAAAATATATATATAAATTATTTGTTATAAGTTTTTTTTCTAATGACCATTTGATTTTAAAATATAGTATGTTTTAATATTTTATTTTCCACAAAATGAATAGTTTGGCATCTTAAATACCCCATTCAATTTAATATAAAAAGAGTTAGTTTTTCTCATCCAACTGTTAATGATTGATAATGTTGAGCACGGCTATTTAAATAAATTAGTTAAATAATAATGAATAGTAAATACATCATTACACTATATAGTATCGAAGCATTACGTGTTAAAATACAGTAGGTATTTTAATTAATTAATATTTAGGAATGAAATGTTGCTTAGTCTAGAAATCTATTACAGTTACTTCTTAATTTTCTACTTTAAATATATCATGTATTACATGTGACCCTAGTCAGTAAAACTAGATAGAATTTTAGAGAAATGCCCATTTAGGTTAGGATTATATTGGTCTACACATAGTGCCATGTAGCCATATTAAGTTAGAGAGATAGGCCTATGACTTTTTTTCTGTTGGCGATTGCAAAAAGTAAAAGCTTTGTTATGGGTTTGTTGTGTGTGGCGTTGGACACAGCATTGTCTTGAGAGTCGTGGGCCGTGTGCTGGGAAGAGCCCGCCTTGAGCTATTCAAAGTCCAGATGGCCGACAGGCGTGTGTCTAACGTCCCAAGGTAAGCGGCTGCTTTTAGTAGGATGCTTCATGCAGTGTTGGCTTGCGGTTTCATTTTTCAAATTGTAGTTTCCTTATTATTTTTGAATGTATTTCTTCTGAAGTTAGCATTGTTACATTTTATATTTGACTATTGTGTTCAATAAAAAGATTCACTATTAGATTAACTTACTTGCAAAGATCAGCTCAATTGATCTTATTTGGAAATGGTAATAAATAAAAAAATACAGTTTGGCAAATATTATTAACTTTTAAAACAATTTAAATTAATTTGTTAAAACAATTAAAAGTTTACTATAATATTAGAACATAAACTAATATAATTTTTTGAAATTAATTATGTATTAAAATGTATTACATACTTAAAGTTTTTCTTATTACTTATTCTTATAAAAAAATTAAATAGTATAACATACATAATATAACATAGGTATAATTAGAATATTTGATGCTTGTAAAAGACAACAGAAATAACCTTATATTATATTTAATGAAATTCTACACTGCAGGCTATTGGCACTGAAAAAAAAACAATACAATTATAAACTGTATGTGATTCTTATAATGTTTTCCATATTACTTACTAGTTACAGTTACAGTACATAGTGCTTAGTAACAATTCTAATTCTAATTTATACCTATTGTGGAGCATAATTTTTATTTAAATAATAACAATATACCACTAAACTTAAATATTGTTCTTCATGCCTTACAAAAATGTATTAAACTATTAATGTTGTCATTATAAAAACTATAGTAGAGAAAATGCATATACTTTATTTTTTATAATTATAAAAATAAAATTTTTTATACTATTGAATAAAAAATAACTTACTAACGTAATAGTTAGGCCTTGTTCATATGGTTACATATTGTATATGGCGTGTTAAATGTTTCGATTTGAATTTTGCATTGAATACATTTGAACGCACTAGTGAAATAGGCCCTTATCACTATTACACATACAAACTTTAGCAATGTAAATCAAAACACTGCATTCAATACAGTTAGTTTATATGAACTTGGCCTTTATGTATCATTCAAATCAGTAATGCAGTGACTAATTCATATTAATGTTGCATTCTATTCTCAGCAATAAGGGTTATACAATATTTGTACAAACAAATCAAATGATTCTTTTTACACCTAAAAAGAATTAATACATTTTAAATAAAATATATAATATATATATATACAGAGTGTAGTGTGTACCAATTAAGTATCTATACTAATTATTTCAGTTTAAACTTTTAAAAAAAAATTATATTTACATAATTTTATGCCATAAAAAATATATTTTTTAAAAATTTTATCATTATTACTAGTCTTTTTAGCAATAATAAACATTTTTTAACTCATCCCAAAGTAGAATATTTTTTGGAGTATTTTGATACATAATTGAGTTGCAAATTAACTAGTTATAACTTTCAGGTTTTAAAGGTATTTATTTACCACTTTACTCCATTTATTTTAACTAATACTAAAGTAGATAACAACTAATTAGAAATTCAATTTTTGTGTATCAAAATACTATGAAAAATATCTTCGTCAGCATAAAAATTAAAAAATCTGTGCTATACAAAAAAGTTAAAAAATTTAAATATGATAGTTTTAAAATGTAAAAATATAATTTATTTTCAAAAATATTGTTGTTTTACAATGACATCAACTATGTAAAAAAATAAATAGTTTTAAATAGTGAGGACACTTAAATAGATCACCTTGTATATTATAATATATATGTTTTATTGTATAAACATTTTTTTCAAATAAATACTACATGCATTTAAATGTTTTATACTTAAAAAATCAAAGCATCTTTTTTAATTTTTGTCTGCAATTTATTTATTTTTTGTTATATTTATATTTCACTCTTAAGTATATTATGTTATTATGTAGTTATAAAATGGTAACATTTAAATTATTTAGTAGCTAGGTACATTGATTTTTGGTATTTAAAAAGTGTATTATCTGTAATTCGTTATAAGTACTGAATAATTTCAAAATATTTTTGATGTTAAATTATTAAAATAAATATAAATAGTTAAAAATAATGTTAATAAAATAAATAAATAAATAATATAAAACTATTTTTGTTATATCATCAAAGTGTATACTACCGAGTTATGTTTGTATGAGGCTAACAACACAATATAACTAAACAATATACTAGTAAAATGTACATTTTAAAATTTTCAAAATAAAATGTAAGAGCGTGTTTTTAAAATTAAAATTTATTATATTGCAATTATTTTTTTAAATAAAGCAGCTTTATTGCTACAAATTCTTAGTAGGTAACTACATCATATTTTAAAATGCACAATAGGCTTTTGCACACAATCGTTTGTATTTCACAAAGGTTTGTTTTTACTGTACATTTTAACACATGATTATTTTGCCTTGTTTTTATTTAAGTAAAATAGTTGTTTTATTTTATTTTTGATGGTTATATTGAAGAAAATTTATTTTATAAATAAAAATATTGGAATTATATTATTATAATACAATTAATAATGCTAATGCCCATTTCTATAACAGATTTAAACCTAACTTATTTCATTGATTGGTAATATTATATAAAATTCTCTAAGAGTTGAAGTAAAGTTTTTAAGATTAAATATTTTCTTATATTTTGTATGTATAAAATAAATGTGATAAACTTTATCATTAAAATAAATTTGAAATTCACAAATAAATACTGTATAATATAAAAATATATTACTGTAACACTTTGGTGTATCTGAAACAGGGCATGGAACAGTTTTATTTTAATTTACTGTTCAGTATTTATTATTTTGGATAAGATTTTCTCTCAATTTACAAATTATAAACTAATATTTTAACATTATTACTGATACTTTTTCGTTATATAATAATGGGGAAATAATGGTCTTTAAAATATTTAAGTTGGCCATGAAACACTAAAATATAATTTCATTTAAACAATGATATAATTATCACCTTGTTTTAATATTTTTGTTGATTACTAATATACATATCTTATATTATAAAATAATATTATAAACATAATTTTAAACTTCAATATGTACATATATAAAAATAATAAGTAATCGTTTTTAAACATAATGTTGAATTCATTTGATATTATTAAACAATAAGACAGACCATTGTTAAGATATGCTACATTATTTTAATTTTTTTTTTTTCATTGTTACGATTTGTGTCTGTTTCATGCTCTGCATCAGTTGATTATTGTTGATATAATAACATTTATTGTACTTCACTTACCATTGAGTAAAAATTAATAATTTTTTTAGGAGACCTCGCCGTCTACTTAACTCATTTCCAATGGGACATGGCTAAATATCCAATTAAACAGTCGTTGCGTAATATAGCTGACATAATCAGTAAACAGGTAGGGCAAATTGATGCAGATCTTAAAACCAAATCGTCAGTGTACAATAATCTTAAGAGCAGCTTACAAAATATGGAAAAAAAACAAACTGGCAGTTTGTTAACAAGAAATTTGGCTGATCTTGTACGCAAGGAACATTTTATTCAGGATTCTGAGTATTTAACTACATTACTTGTTGTAGTGCCCAAGTAATTAAATAAAATATTAAATTCTTAATAATGTAATTTCATTTTTAAATTTATTTGTGTGTTCATCAGGTCCGGATTTTCTGATTGGAATCAAAATTATGAAAAGTTAACCGATATGATTGTGCCTCGTTCTAGCCAGCTAGTTAGCCAAGACAATGATTATGGATTGTTTACTGTCACATTATTTAAAAAAGTGGCTGAAGAATTCAAACATCATGCTAGAGAGAGAAAGTATGATGTTTTAATAATTTGTATATTATGTAAAGTAGTTATTAAAA